ACCCATACTAGTTTTTCATTTTGAGCATACCACCTGTTCCCCACTGGGCCCCTGACTGATTCTCTTATTTGTGAATATTAGTAGCTATAGTTTACATTTCTAGCATATAATAAATTGTGTGAACTTATTGGTAAAAAGCCTTTTTAAACACAAGGCCATCATGGGCCTGCTGAGTGATTCAGAAGTCCTTTACTGCACAGTTTCTTTCTCTCTCCCAGGCCTTCCTTCCAGTCTAAACTTATAGATGAAACTAAGGGCTGGGGGGATGAGGATAAATATGTACTACCTTAATCAATAAAGAAATTTAAAAAAAGAAAGAAAGAAACTAAGGGCAAAGGGACTAGCAGAAACCTCCAAAGCTAATACTTCAGCAACATTTACTGTCCATGATATCTGGCCTGGGATCTTTGAATTTCAGTCTTTCCTCATCATCTCCTCCGGGACACAGCTAGCCACAGGCAGACAGTCCAACACAACATTTAAAATTCAAATGTGAAACACAGAATAATGAAGCCATCTGGTCCATATTGTGTTATCCAACAATTATAAGTAATGCGAACTATAAATACAATAAGCAAAAGGAAGCAAACAAGAGACCATTAATCAATCCAGACAATTTGCACAAGATGTGATGACTCAAGTGTATTTACACAAATACAGAAAACGCTTTTTCAGAAGAATCTTTAGAAATGATGGACGAAAGCAGATCTGGATTTAAAATATAACCTGGCAGTGCCCTTCAGTCATACTTCTCTGAAGTAATAAAAATCTGTATGGGCTTAGCAGGCATGGCTCAGTGGTTGAGTGTTGACCTGTGAACCAAGAGGTCACAGTTCGATACTGGGTCGGGACACATGCCCTGGTTGCAGGCTCAGTCCTCAGTGTGGGGCATGCAGGAGGCAGCTGATCAATGATTCTCTCTCATCATTGATGTTTCTCTCTCTCTCCCTCTCCCTTCCTCTCTGAAATCAATAAAAATATATACATTTTTTTAAAAAAGAAACTAGTAATACTCATCATTAGCCCCACTCGAAAAACCTGTAGGAGCTTGAGTGGGACATAATCAAAATGATTTGGCTCTGGGTATTTACAGCCAACAGTCTCCTCATCTGTCTGACTATCCCATAATCACCGCAAAGTCAATATATCTGAAATTGAACAAATGCTCCTCCCTTTCCCATCTGTTTCTTTGCTTATATCTCAGGCTTCTAATATGAGCAACTGAAGAGATGATGCAAGTGCAGAGAGAGGAAACATTTAAATTGCTTAGTTATCAGTTCCCTCCCCCGCTCCTTTACCAGGGTTCACTGTAGGCAGAGAATTACTCCCAACCCTCGGTGACTTGGTTTGGCTTACCTCTTTTGCACTTCCACCATTGGCCATGAGAAGAGCATGCCCTGAATAGCCGGCGGTGATACGTGTGGTAGACCAGAAACCTACCTGCAGCCAGAAACCAGGCTCTACAAATCCACAACCACTTGCTTGCTTTTGTAAGCCATTGGGATTTGGAAGGTTAGCTGTGATGTATTGATAGTATCTCCTGTCAGAAATCACAGCACTCTCCTCCACTGGGGCTGGGCATGCCTCTCCTCCCTACAACTCCAGACCCAGGTGGAGGCAGGCCTGAATGGCCCCTCAGGGTCCTTCCCACAGCAGTGGTGCTGCCTCCACAACCGAATATTAGAAGTGAATTTGAGTTGCGCTTTACCTTTAGTTCTGCACTATCCTCCATCTTGCATCTGTCAGCACAAGTGCACTGAACCTCGCTGGGGGTCGCAGCTAAACCCACCCTCCTAGCTCACCTGGCCCCATCCCTCCACCGCCCAGCCTCCACCCCACTCCAGGAGATTGGAGCCCTGCCCTGAGTACATTCAGCTGTGAAACGGTCACATACAATTTAAAGCTGGCACCAAGGGGGAGATTTGACTTACCACCTCCCTAAAGCCCCCCTTAGTGACCCCAGCCAGTGCCTCTAAGGACGACCACAATTACAGGGCCGCTGGCCAGAGCCCGCCCCTCTGAGGCCTGCAGAACCCTCTGCAAAGCTTCCATAGCTACAGTCCCAGGAAACAACCATGCCCTCCGCCCCTAATCAGCACCTGCTACCCGCCAGGGTACCCGTGGTTTTAAAAATAACAATCCCACCCTAACCAGTTTGGCTCAGTGGATAGAGCATCGGCCTGCACACCGAAGGGCCCCAGGTTCGATTCTGGTCAAGGGCATGCACCTTGGTTGCGGGTACATCCCCAGCAGGAGGTGTGCAGGAGGCAACTGATCAATGTTTCTCCCTCATCGATGTTTCTCTCTCTCCCTCTCCCTTCCTCTCTGTAAAAAAAAAAAAAAATCATCACCGACCCATTGGTTGTCCAGTTTCACCACCAGACACTGCCCTGCCGGTCTGGGAAAACATATCCCCACTGTCTTCGTACTGTGTGACAACAGGCACAAATTTGGGTAAAATGTTTACCAGATTCATAACTTTCCATGTGTTCATGTCCCACAGCTGCTCTACCATCCTAAGCAGCCATGCTACTACCATTTGCTGCTTCACTGGATTCCAAGTTCAAGGGTAGCTCCAAAAGAGAAGTCTTCTGTAGCAACAACAAGGAGGAGGCTGGCTTATTTTTTCTTAAGTGCCCTTCCTTCTGGTCCTATTTACATGCATCATTAGCCCAGCAGTGGAAGCACTCTGTTATAAGTGACTTTAGAAATCATAATCATTACAATTAAAAACTTCCATTTAAACCACAATACCCCTTTGTTATGCTAAAGTTGCCCTCTCCGCTTACAGCTCTCTCTCTCTGAGGCCTATTTGGACTTTTAACCTATCTGCAGGCTTTTTATTTTGGAACCTTTTGTGATCTTGAAGTTGTAATTTTCACAAGTGGAGCCCTAAAGCTCTAAGATTTTTATCAGAATTATCATTTCATTTCTGCATGTGTTTCGTAGGTGAGTTTTCCGTAGCATTACAAAACAATGCTGTAACACTTTACAGCATTAAAAGATAAAAGTTGAAAGCCCCCAAAGCACCACAAAGAAATTAACTGCGCAGTGTAAATGTTTAAATCAGTATCAGAAAGCTCAAATGTAGGCAGCAATGAAGTCAGCGCAAGCACACTGAACTGGGAAAATCAAGAAGCATAATGGTTGATGCCAGTGCTTGAGCATGGATCTATGAACTGGGAGGTCAAAGTTTGATTCCCAGTCAAGGTTGGGCACATGCCCGGGTTTTGAGCTCAATCTTCAGAGGGGAAGGGAAGCGTGCAGGCGGCAGCCAATCTCTCTCATCGTTGATATTTCTCTCTCTCTCTTCCTCTCCCTTTCTCTCTGAAATCAATTAAAATATATTCAAGAAGCATAGTGGTTGAGAATGTTGTATAACAGGGCCAGGTCTGGGGGAGGTAAGGGAGGTGCAGAGCTGGATTCTGTCTATATTTTTAAATTCCATATTTTGTTCATCGTGAAATTTTAAAATTAATTTTGATATAAAAAATTGCATTAAAATATAACAGCTGCTTCCTCAAAAAGTTAAACAGAATTACCATATATCCCAGCAATTCCACTCCTTGGTATATACACAGAAGAATTAAAAACAGGTACTCAAATATTTGCACATAAATGTTCTTAAGAGCACTATTCATCACAGCTAAAAGGTGGAAACAACTCAAATGCCCATCAACAGATGAAGACATAAACAAATTGTGGTAGATACAATGGAATTTTATTCGGCTATAAAAAGGAATAAAGCATTGATACACAGGATGAACCTTAAAAAACATGACACTACACTATTACACTACACTATTAAGCGAAATAAGCCAGAAAGAGAAAGACAAGTATCACATGATCTCACGTGAAATCTAATGAAAATTAACTGATGAACAAAATAGATCCAGACACAGAAGCATGGAACAGACTGTGAAATCTCAGAAGGAAGAGGAAGAGGGGAAGAGATCAACCAAAGAGCATGTTTGCATATATGCATACCATAACCCATGGACTCACAATAGGGTGGAGAAAGCCTGGGAGGAGTAGGTGAGAGGGGAGGGGGTCAATGGGAAAAAACAAAGGGAACATCTGTAATATCTTCAACAAAAAAAGATAAATTTTTTTTAAATGATGCTAAATGAAAGACGCTAGATACAAAAAGCTATATATTGTATCATGTCATCTACATGGAATATCCAGAATTGGAAAATCATAGAAATAGAAAGATTAGCGTTGCTAGGGGCTGGGAGGAGGTAGGAATGGGGATTATTCTGGAGTGTTGGAAATGTTTCAGAAGTAGATAACGGTGGTGGCCGCATAACATTGTGAATGTACCAAATGCTACTGCAATGTTCACTTTAAAATGGTTAATTCTATGTTATGTGAATTTCATCTCAATTAAAAAATATACAGGGTGTCCCCAAAAATGTATATACACTTTGAATAAAGCGTTTATTAAAATACGTTTCATTTCTGCCCTTGCTGGTTTTGCTCAGTGGTTGGAGCATCAGCCCTGTGGACTGAAGTGGACTGAAGGTTCCCGGGTTCGATTCCAGTCAAGGGCATGTACCTCTGTTGCAGGCTCAATCCCTGGTCCTACTCAGCGAGTGTGGGAGGCAACCAATCAATGTCTCTCTCTCACATTGATGTTTCTCTCTTTGTGTCTCTCCCCTTCCCTTCCACTCTTTCTAAAATAAACTCAGGTGAGGGTTAATAAACAATACACACACAACCATTTCATTTTCAAAATGTAATAGAATCTTCAGCTATCAGCTGTTAAAGTGCGTATACATTTTGGGGGGACATGGTGTATATGAACTGATCTTGATTCCTGAGATTTTTTAGGACCCCTTCAATTCTGTGCCTGAGCACAGGCCTTACTTGCCACCCCCATCCTTGGACCTATTTAAATTCCCTTTTAACTAGAAATAAAGTGGGCAAGACATTGAAATAAGCTTGGGCTGCACCGAGATTGGTGGTGGAGTTCCAAGTCAAAGAATGGCTCATTTTTCACTCAAAATTCATTTTATTGCATGTGCCCTGCCACCCTTCCCATACAGCCCAGTGAAGGCTCAGGTCCTGTATCGTTGCTCAGCACCTGTCATCACGGTATACCAGACAAGATAAAGACACACTTTCTCCCCCAGTCAGGTTGGTGGGAAATGTTTAATCGGCTAGGGAAATCTGGGAGACCCAAGGGCCGCCTCTGGAGGGAAAAGGAAAGTGCCCCTTTGGTTCTGGTGCGTGAAAGTACATATCATTTGATTCCCTTTGAGGCTTTCGTCCCACGTTGCGTGATTCTTTAAGAATGTGGTGATTTCTTCAGGTAGTTGCTTTATCTTGGCTTCAATTACTTCAGAGCCTTAAAAAAAATAAAAAAAATAAAAGGAATATGTGTATTAGCAACATCAGAACCTGAATAATACAAGTCTTTAAAATACTCCCAGGTAATTTTTGCATCATTTGGTTTGCTCCTAAAGCTCTCCATTGAGGCAAACCTAAATAATACGAATGTGCTTTCCATGGAGAACATGAATATTCAGTCCCTAAGTGAAATACAAAGAGAGCTGACACTGGAGCAATGAACTCTACAAATATCCCCAAGCTGCTGTCCCTGCTAAAGAGAGCAGGTCAACCCAGGCCTCCGAGCTAGGGTATGATCAAGTTAGCCAGGCTGCTGTCACTCTAATAAAGCCTAATAGAGCAGCGTGGAAAATATTATAGGCTGCCCTCAGCAGCCATGCCAGTCTCTGCCATCGCCCTACAAAGAGATAAAATACTGTTATTTTACACACACCCAAGGAAACCTGCTGTCCACAGCGACCTAGACTAGGGGCCAGCAAACTGTTTTCACAAACGGGTTTACTGGGCCGCAGCCCTGCCCATTTAGCTGAGTGTGGTCCCTGGCTGCTTTTCCTCTACAGTGGCAAAGTGGAGTAGCTGTGACAGAGGCCGCATGGCCTGCAAAGCCTAAAGTATTTACTATCTGGCCCTTTACAGAAGAAGGTTGCTGATCCCTGACCTAAACTATTAGAAATCTACCCACTTCGGCCTCCAGGTGTATTGTATATATATGCATCAAATAAATAGATGATAGATATAGATAGATAGATAGATAGATAGATAGATAGATAGAAAAATCTATATCTATCTATCTATCTATCTATCTATCTATCTATCTATTTACTAGAGGCCCAGTGCATGAAATTCATGCAGGGGGTGGGGGAAGACATCTCTCAGCCCAGCCTGTACCCTCTTGAAAACTGGGACCCTTCGGGGGATGTCCAACTGCTGGTTTAGGCCCGATCCTGCAGAAATCCCTGTGGATTGGGCCTAAACTGGCAATTAGACATCCCTCTCACAATCTAGGACCACTAGCCCCTAACCATTTGCCTGCCTGCCTGATCTCCCCTAACTGCCTATGCCTGCCTGATCTCCCCTAACTGCCTATGCCTGCCTGATCTCCCCTAACCACCTCTGCCTGCCTGATTGTCCCTAATCACTCTGCCTGCCTCCCTGATGGCCCCTAACTACTCACCTGCCTGCCTGATCGCCCCTAACCGCCTGCTGTGGGGTGACCAGCCAGAGTGAGGGGCCGTGATCATTCTGGTCTCTGCTCATTCTGGTCATTCCACCATTTCAATCACTGGGCTTTTATGATATAGGATTCCTGGCCTCAAATGCATTCCATTCTCCCCATGCTAACTGCTAGCTTTCTCAGGTACATTCCAGTTTACCAAAGGTGTAGTGGGCTGTGAGGTCTGTCTGTCTACCTCTGCCAGGCAAATAGGATCCTGTAGACAAATCCTATAGTGCTTGCTCCCTTCTACACCAAGACAGCAGCTTGTCTGTAAAACAAACAAGAACTCAGAGATTCCTTCTTACCCTCTCAGGTAGCGCCTGTCATTCCAAGTCATGTATTAGCTTATTTCCAACTCAGCTATCCTTGGCTCTGAAAAGCTGTCATCACTGGCATCGCTGTATCTATCACTAGATCAAAAGAGGAATTAATTTAGCAAGGTATTAAAAAAAACAGACAATGATCCAAAACACTTTCCATAATTAACTCCCACTCAGAGACAATCCTAAGAAATACTCTATTATCACTTCCTCCTCACATACCACAGTCTCCTTTTGTCAGAGGAACTGATCACTTGCTTTCATCTTAAATTGGAAGTAACTTATTCAGAAAATTTATAAAAGCATTTCAATTTAGATTAAATTTATAATCTTATAAAGACCACTAATCATTTCTAAACTTCAAAAAAAGCCTTAAAAGCACACCGCTCCTGACTCTCTTACCTACGGTCTGCTTTCTACTAGAGGTATTATGTAAACAAATTAAGTTAAAATGAAAGCCTGAGCTGATAGACCCATTTATTTCCTATGAATCTACTATTGCCTGAATCGCAGTCCTTTTGAGATTAAGCATCATTCAGTCCTATTCCTGCTGATCTCAATTTGTTCTCAAGTGCAATAAATAGCATAGCATCAAATAGTACTTGAACGCTCACAGATTTTTTTTCATTTTCCACCCTTCTGATGACAACGGTTTCCTTTTTTTTTATTGTTTTTTATACATTTTTTATTAAATTATTATCTGTGTACATATTTTAACATTGCCGCCCCCCTCCACAACTGTTTCCTTTATCAATATGAAAGGACTACAGAACAGCTGTACATCCCTTGATTACATTAGCCAAACACTCTTCATTTTACTCAGTGGTAGGTTGGGCTTTATCTCTGAGCCTGAGGACCACAAGAGCTCCCTAGATAGCTTCAATGTGGAGGAGCCAGTCATCCAGTCAGCAAACTCCATGGGGATATTGATCTTGGTGGTCAATAGAACTAAGACATGCATGTTAACTCAAGACCCATGTCCAGCCAGCAAGACTTAGTGGTTGAGCATCGACCTATGAACCAGGAGGTTAAGGTTCAATTCCCAGTGAGGGCACAAGCCCGGGTTGTGGGATCAATACCCAGTGTGGGGCATGCAGGAGGCAGCCAATCAATGATTCTCTCTCATTGTTGATGTTTCTATCTCTCTCTCCCTCTCCCTTCACCTTTGAAATCAATAAAAATATATTTTTTTTTAAATACCCAGGAAAAACCCAGTAGTGCACATAAAAAACATTCGTACTTGGTAAACTCACCTTGAAATCCTACCTACTTCAGACCCATTTTTGCTATGATTTAGGGGTCAGCAGCATGAAAGTTTCCCAACCCAACAAACATTCTCATAGGTTCAAGGATTTTAGAAGTAATTTTCACAAATACGCTATTTTCAAAATAGAAACTTCATGAGATGCTCCAACTACCTCGAGTCACATGGAATATTAAAAACAGGACCAATTATTGACATAGATATTGCCATGTTTGGGTTCCTGAGAAATACACCTTCTCCATGAGATAGCCCTGCAAGTGTACTTTTGCTCCGAGCTGTGCTCAGTTTAGGGTTCCTCTTGCTCGATTCCAAATAAGTCAGCAGGTTGATCAATTCCACAAGAGTTCTACTGATCTATGGAGATGGCATTGCCAGGAATTGTTTCATGAATTCCATAATAGGTGAAAATCTACTCCTTTTTCTTTTTGTTAAGGGAAGAGAAGGAACAATTAGGAAAATCCTATGCTCATAGATTAGAAAACAAAGATTTCCTCTAAATATATTGAGCACATATCAATAAATACATAAACAAAATCATAAAAGCCAACCTCACTCTCCTCCCTGACTTTTGGACAAAATCACAAAGGGTAAGCATGAGGGGTGGCCTAGAGTATGGAGAGGATACTTATACATTCTTAGAAGAAGATTAAGAATTGCCAGAAAATAAGTGAAATAAGTCAGTCAGAGAAAGGCAAGTATCACATGATCTCACTCATATGTGGAATCTAATGAACAAAATAAACTGATGAATAGAGTGGATCCAGAGACATGGAAGCATGGAAGAGAGTATAGAATCTCTGAGGGAAGAGGGGGGGGGGGGGGGTAATCAACCAAAGACATTATATGCATAACCCATGGACATAGACAATAGGTGGTAAAGGCCTTGGGGGGGGGGGGGGAGCTGGCTGCAGGGGGTCAATGCGTGGGGAGGGGGGGCCATATGTAATACTTTCAACAATAAAGATTTATTTTAAAAAAAAGAATTGGCAGAAAAAACAAAGTATGTTAGATAAACATATAAATCAACATATCCTTAAAAGCATTCAAGTAGAACAGTGGTCAGCAAACTCATTAGTCAACAGAGCCAAATATCAATAATACAATTGAAATTTCTTTGGAGAGCCAAATTTCTTAAACTTAAACTTATAATGACATTTCTTCAAAATATTATAGACTCGCCCAGACTGTGGTATTTTGTGGAAGAGCCACATTCAAGGGGCCAAAAAGCCGCATGTGTCTCGCGAGCCACGGTTTGCTGACCACTGATGAGCAAGACACATCTTATTAGATTTTGGTTCAGGAAAATCAATTCACTATTGCAAAAGAGTTTTCAATAAAGAAAACACAGGAATAACTGAGGAATGTTTTTGTTTTTATTTAAATGGCCTCAAAAGTTGACATGTCCTTTCCCATGTACTCCCACTGCTACACAAATGCCGAATCTCTCCTGATTCTATGCAACATCACCTGTCATAGAACTGGCAAAGAAAGGGGATTTGGAAGTTGTACTCAATACCCTGAGAAGAAATGAAGGTCAAGGGTGTTCAAGTGATTCACTGAGCACAGAGCTCATTTGAGGTGGGGCCAGAATCCCCATCATGCTAACCCAGCCCACAAGCTCAAGTTCACTAGTAAGCTGTGTTGCAGTGGGCCAGCATGGCCTCTCAGGGCATGTTGCCCAATACCACAGGTGAGAAGGCCCAAACCAATCTCCTCAGTTATCAGATTTTTAAATATATATATTTTATTGCTTTTTTACAGAGCGGAAGGGAGAGGGATAGAGAGTTAGAAACATCAGTCAGCTGCCTCCTGCACACCACCCACTGGGGATGTGCCCGAAACCAAGGAACACGCCCCTGACCGGAATCGAACCTGGGGCCTTTCAGTCCGCAAGCCGACACTCTATCCACTGAGCCAAACTAGTCAGGACAGTTATCAATTTTATACCTGCTTCCTTCTCTAATCTCAGGCTGGGGAAGAGTAGGATGGGCCCACACCTTCCTGTCACTCCTTGGTTGTACTGTTTATTGGCCATCATGTATGCACTGGTCACCTAACTCCTGAGAGTCTAGAAATAGTGGAATTAATACCTAAAACCTCATCAAAATGTTATGAGGGCCAAAGGGTATCTATAAGTATGCTCTTGAAAACTATACAAAAATATAAGCTGTCACTATTCATGGGGGCTACATATCCTATATAATAAAGCCCTATTATGCAAATTGACCAAACGGCAGAATGACTGGTTGCTATGACACGCACTGACCACTAGGGCGGCAGATGCTCAATGTAAGAGTTTCCCCCTGGTGGTCAGTGCACTCCCACAGGGGGAGCGCTGCTCATCCAGAAGCCAGGCTCACGGCTGGCGAGCGCAGGAGTGGTGGCTGGTGCCTCTCCTGTCTCCAAGGCAATCGGACATCCCCAGAGGGCGCAGGCAGGGCTGAGGGACCCCCTAAGCCAAGTGCATGAATTTTGTGCACTGGTCCTCTAGTTTGTAATATGGTCTCTCTCAAAAAGTCCTAGAAATATAAAGACGTCATGAAAACTGCCAAGTGCGTGATGTTCAGCATTGTTTCCTGGACCAACAGAATTCCCTACCCATGTTAGCAAGTGAACTTGGGTGGGTGTGTGTCTCACTTAATGGCTCTTATTTCCTGTCTAATGGCTGTCTGCACCACACTGCCCACACCCCAAAATAGCACAGGCTGAGTCTAGCAAAGTGTGGCTCGGTTTGGGTTTACTCATCTCCAAGGTATAATAAATGACAGGGTTCACTAACTTTCTTTCCTATGTGTCAGGGGCCAAGGTAAAACAATCAAGTAAACCACTACACTCAAGAACAGAATTATCAAAAGAGGCATCTAATAAACTTGCTGGTTTTATGGCAATCACGTGTCAGCAAAAAAATCAACTGCTAGAAGTCAAATAGGGATGGATCATCACCCACAAGCAGAATAGCGGGGCTCCTGCACATTCAATCAAATGTGGGTGCTACTCTGAGATGCGTGTGACTTAGGGTTCACTTGTGTTTCACAAAGAACAGAATTAAAGAAGTCCAGCTGAAACTGGTTTTGGCTCAGTGGATAGAGAGTCGGCCTTCGGACTGAAAGGTCCCAGGTTCGATTCCGGTCAAGGGCATGTACAATACTTTGGTTGCAGGCACATCCCCAGTAGGGGGTATGCAAGAGGCAGCTGATCAATGATTCTATCTCATCGATGTTTCTAACTCTCTATCCCTCTTCCTTCCTCGCTGTAAAAACAATCAATAAAAAATATTTTTTTTAGAAGAAGAAGAAGAAGAAGAAGAAGAAGAAGAAGAAGAAGAAGAAGAAGAAGAAGAAGTCGTCCTAAGATATACTTACCTGGGTATATTTTCACTTAATTCAAAACATCTCAGCTCTTTCTGAAGCCTAACCTGTCTTTAAAAATAATATCTGTGTACACACACACACACACACACACACACACACACACACACACTTCTCAGTGGGCAGTGTTATTAGATATTAGGGTCTTTCATGTTAAATTTTATGAAATGCCACAGAATACAAACCCATTCGTGCATGTCTGATGACTTTTAAGGAGGGGATAGTTTTAAACCTACAATGTCCAGTGTGGTAGCCACAAGCCACAGTAGCTATCTAAATTTACATCAAATAACAGTTAAAGTTCCCCTTCTCGAACCCACTGAGCCATATTTAAGAGCTCAGTGGCCACATGTGCCTGGTGACTGTCATACTTGGATGGTGCAGATTATAGAACACTTCTACAATATCATGGCAGACAGTTTTACTGGATAATGCTGATTTAAAAACAAATGAATAAT